AGGCTCCCCGTGCGCTAGGGGCCCACCCTCAGGGAGCCAGCAGGCAGGAAGCTAGCCAGCCGGAAGACTGGCGCTCCCCGCCCGAGGCTCCCCGTCATTTTCTTTTTTTAACTCCATATTAAGAGATGTCACTTAAGTGGTAGTTGACCCCGCTCTTCACCCTCTCCCTTGGTTGTCATCAACCCACTTAAAGGAGAACAGAGTCAAAAAATGGGAACAGAACAAACAGGACAAGTTAGGAAGTAGATTAAAGTTAAACTGCAATGGTCATCTGGAATCCAGCTGTCCAGCAGCTTCTGGGAAGGGTAAACTTTGTGATAATTGTGTGACATTCTTGTAAGATTCCCAAAGATGAGGTAACAGTTACTATGGAAACCTAAAATATACTTGAACTGAAGGGGAGACCCAGATTGGTGTGGACATCTCTGGTTCCTGGTTAGAGACTGTCCATCAGCTGGCTCAATAAAGCTTTGTTTGTTCCTGCTGTTTTGGTCTTTTATGAATGCCATGCTTGTTGAACTAGCTTGCTGTATCAGGACAAAGTCAAGATGTGTCTGTGCCTAATAACACTCATGGTAGGAGGCACGGCAAAAGGAGCTCCTTTCTCCTATAGTAGCTCTTTGTGATTTGTAATGCCATCTTTTGAAATACAACATTCTCATTTGTTACCTTAACCCTCCTTCAGTAAAAGCTGTAAAGTCTGAAACTTGAGCAAACTTTTCAGAGTCTTATTATATAGAGTCAAAATTATTCATAAAATGTCTAAATTCTGCCACTAAATAAAAACTATGTGCCATCAGTTTCTTCATTTCTACACTAAGATTGGCCAGACCTTACAGGTATCTATAAATTCGTAGTAATGGTGGGTTCTCTTGGGTGAGCTGTATTATAACTATGACCAGAGCCACTACAGGATGGGGTGCTCTGTTGCTTTACCTGCAGTTTTTGTGTTCTTGTGGAGGACCGTTGCTTTCTTAGCCCTCTTTTATCAGCATTGGTTTTACCAGTGTTTTCCACAAAGAAAAGTTTTATCACTTGAAAGATTATGGTTGTAAACACTCATTTAAAGATGCCCAAGTGAATAAGAGGAAGGTAGACTGCTAAGAGCTGTTAATAACCGAGTCTGTCTTATTCCTCTAGTCTGTCATTAAGCTGTGTGTGATGTGCTTTTATTTTTGAGCTCTGTATATATATGCGCCTACTTTTATACATATAAAAGTATATGTATATGTATATTCACGTAGAAGTATATATAGAAGTATGTATATATAAAAAGTACAGATAGGGCTTCAGGCTTGTGTAGAATTAATGTGAATCTGTCAAATGCAGGAGCTTGATCTTATGTGACGTCTTCCTTTCCATTTGGGTGTAGTGCTGCTTACCTGTAACCCCAGTACTCTGGGAGATTGAGGTAGAAGGAAGGAAATTTCAGACCTGGCCTGGGCAATTTAAGAAGACCCTGTGTCAAAATAAAGAGAATGAAAAAGGGCTGGGTACGAAGTTCAGTGTGAAGGCCCTGGTTTCAATCCCTAGCGCTGTAAAACATTTTTTTCTACCCGGTCCTCCCTTTCACTCCTCCCCTTTTTAAAGTGCCATACAAGTAATACGTACTATGAAGGTCTTTTTGTATAATTGCCAATAGAAACGGTGACTTTGCTATTCATATTATAGCTCTAGTATCTCACATATTTTTGACACCATACTAGAAACTTACTGAAGTGAGTTAATGAAGAATACAAAGCAAAATGGTCTCTTCTCTTCTTGTCTTTTGCTTTTACCAAAGTGAACATTTTTTCTTTTTCTTTTTTTGTACCAGGAATCGAACTCAGGACCTTGCGCTTGCCAGGCAGGTGCTTTTGCTGCTGAGCTAAATCCCTGGCCCTGTTTTTCTTTTTTAGTTGGCAAAATTCTCTTCTTTGGAGAGTTGGAGTAATTTATGTTTATCTTTGGAGCAGGGCTTGCTAAGCACAGTGCTAAGTGCACTGGCTTTTCCTGTGCGCCTTTCTTGACCCTCAGTTGGGAGTTCTTACACAGACTAGGGAGCTATAGGATTGCAGTTCCCTGAAGTAAGACAAAGTACATTCATGAAAGGAATTGGTTTTCCTGTCTGTGTGGTCTCAGTCATACATGAGACTCTTCAGACTTTCTAAAGAATAATTTTAGTTAAAGTTCATAAATGTGTAGATAACAATAAAGTTATGTTTTTCGATAGCCTGTTTCTGGGACACATAATCCTCTTTTATTTATTTTATTATGTTCCTGGGTACCATTTAGATATCCATAATGATCACATTCATCATCAGGAATTTGTACCTGTATATGACATATCTTGATTCCTGTTTTCTCCCCAATCTCCTCCCCTCTTCAGTCCTTCTTCCACTCCTTATTTACAAAGCTTTGTTACCATTTTATCCTTTTTTAATAGTTTTTTTTCTTTTCCTTTTCTTCCTTTCTCCCTCCCCCCTCCCTGGTTCCCATTTCTTTTGAACAGTTAACCTTTTTGTCAGAAAATTCATTAAAGGAAGAGAATGTAACTAAAAACTTACAGCATTAAATACTTTATAAATAATAATATATAACAAACAAGAATATTTTTCAAATCTATTTTTATTATCTTGCTATTTGTAGAACCTCTGGTAAATTTAAGTACTTGAAAGGTGAGTAGAGTGTTATCTCTTAACTCACCAACATACAGTTATTTTAAAATTGAACTTCGCTTCTTTGTGAACTGTAGTCTGTTTGAATTTCATTTTGCTTCATTGTAATATCTAGCTCTATATTCATACTTATTATATTGTAATCCTATAAAAAATTCTGGAAAACCATTATTAATTGGACTATTTTAAAGAACTTCTATATTAAAGAAAAAGGCAAAAAAGCTTTCCTACATGGCAGATATTATCTGTAGATAAAAAGTATAGAATAAGTATGACATTAATTTGGAAACTAAAAGTTTTCTCCATTTATCTTAATTTACTGTATTCTCATATTTTGAGAGGAAAATGTGATACACATGGTTTTCTTTCTGTTTTTTCCCAGCTATTGATCTGAAAAATGGTTCTGGAAAAGTGTATCAAGGTCCTGCTGAAGGTTCTGCTGACACAACCATCATAATTTCAGATGAAGATTTCATGGAAGTAGTCTTGGGCAAGCTTGACCCTCAGAAGGTAATGATGTCAAAATTTTCATTGATTCATTATTCTTTCTTTGTTAATTGGAGCTTTAGTTGACTTTCAAATTCTGATTTATGAAATTTGTCACAACTCTGAAGAAGACAGAGTTTGGTACCAATATTATGGTTGATAAATTGTTTTTTAAATGGAGTTTCACTTGACACTATAAAACTGAGTTTTAGAATGAAATTCTCTTTACCATACAGTAAAACAACATAAAAACCCACATTTAGACTTTCTAATATCTAATATCAGTAGTTCATGCATATGAAATTAGTGGATACTCTATAAAATTAGACAGTCATTCTTGATACATAAGATGAGGAACCTTTATTTGAAATACTTGAGACTAATATGGTTCATATTTTAGAATTTTTTGTATTTTGGAATATTTGCATAGGCCTTACTGGTAGAGCATCCCCAATCCAAAAGTCTGAAACTCAAAACACTCTGAAATCTGAAAAATTTTGAGCTATGTATTAGAACTCAATGTTTTAGATTTCAGATTTTTGAATTAAGGATGCTCAACTTGTGTAAAATTAAGAATTCATTAAAAGCTAGATGTTTTTACATCTAGTGTCTTTGTGTGTATTAGCCACTTTCTTGCTGCTGGCACAAAATGCATGACACTGCAACATAAGGGAGAGTTTATTTCGGCTCACAGTTTCAGAAGACGGTCCACAGTTGGTTAGTGCCAAGGCAGAAGAAGCATGTGGAAGAGCATGGTGTGGGAAAGCTGCTCAGTCCATGGCAGCCAAGAAACAGACAGATGCATGGGAAATGGGACAAGTATCAAGAATGCACCCTTCCAGGTTGTACCCCAGTGACCTGCCTCCTTTAACCAGGCCTCATGTCCCACCAGCACACTCTGCTAAGAACTCATCAATGTCAGCTCACTGAGGTGTATAATGCCCCGTGAATGAGCCACCTTCCAGAAACCCTGACTCTGAATATATGAGACTTTGGAGGATATTTTAGGTCTGAACCATAGTGTTCAGAGGCATTTCAGTGGAAAATCATGGTTAAGAGTGCTTCTCTACTCAGGTGTGGGGATGCATGCCTGTAATCTGAGCACTTGGGAGGCTGAGACAGGAACATAGCCATGAATTTTGAGGCCAGCCTGGACTGCATAGTGAGTTCAAGGCCAGTCTGAGCTACATAGCAAGACCCTATCTCAAAGAAAGTAAGAAAAAAAAGGGTACCTTCTCTGATTATTACTAATTAATTAATGTTATTTTGAAACTTTTGGCCATTTCAAAAGAAAACAAAAAACCCCACAAAATTAATGTAGTTGTTGAAGCAATTGAATGGAAGGGAAAATCTGGTTTTTTTAATGCATGATTATGTAGTTAGAAATTCCAAGAGCATCAACTGATTTTTAGAATTAAGATGTGCAAAAATAGTTGAATGGACAATTACTAGTTTTTATTGTTAGTTTTCACATTGCAGCAACATCCAATAGAAGTGTAATTGAAAATTCACTTACAATCACAACATATAGTACAATGTTCCAGTGACTACCCTCATAAGCAAAGCACAGTGCTTATTTGAAGAAACTATACACATTTACAAAGAGCAGAATAATATGAATAAATGAAACATATTATGTTCCTGTATATAAAGAGTAATTTAGAAAGTATTACAAAATGTGTAGTGGTTAAATATAAGATCTTTAGCATCTAGCAAATCTAGGTTTGAATCTTGGTTCTGTCATGTAAAACCTCAATTTTCTCATTTATGATACCAAAGGATTGTTATGAGATCTAAAGCCAGTAATATAAATGAATAGCATAATATAGTCCTTGGCACTTTTCCGGGGATTTATTTAAAACCCACTCTGATTCAGATTGTGGTTAACATTGAACAAGTCAATACCTAGAGCTTAGCTCTAGACCACTAAAAGAAAAGAATATAATTAGGTATAAAGAAAATACAAGGTAGACCAAAGGGTGAGAGCAGTGATTGGCAAGCTTTTTCTGTAAAGGGTCACATGGTAAATATCCTAGACTTTATTGCAGCTGTTCAACTCTGCCATTGTATCATTAATATATAAACAATTGGATGTGGCTATGTTCTAGTAAAACTTTCTGTACAAAAAACAAGTAGCACACTAGATCTTGCCCCCAGGCTTCAATTTGCCTACCCTTAGGCTAGAGTGTGACAGGATAGGGGAACTATTTTAGATGTGGGTGTGTAAAAAGGCCTGATTAATATTTGAACCCAATAAAGAAATATGTCATGAGACTTAAGAAACTGCAACACCAGTAAAAGGGCCTGAGGCTTATTGGATACCTCTCACTGTGAGGAGGCCAGTAAGGCTAGTAAAATGAATAATGGAGAGAGAGGTTAAGAGTCAGATAGGAGAGGCAGGAGAAAGTACAGCTTCTTTGTAAATGGTGTTTGTAAAACTGAATAGCCACATGCATACAATTAAACCTTCATCCCAATCTCTACCCTTTACAAAAGCCAAGTTAAAATGGATCAAAAATTATAAGACCTGAAACTACTAGAAGAAAATACAGGGCAACACTTCAAGACATAAGCAAAAATTTTCTGAGTAGGACTTCAGAAACCTAGGAAACAAAGGCAAAAATTGACAGACTTGATTACATCATACTGAAAAACTTCTTCACAGAAAAGGAAACAAACAGTGAAAAGACAGCTGGAGAATATATTTTCCAGCTATTCATTTGACAAAGGACTAAAACCCAGATTATATAAAGAGCTCATAATGCTTAACAAAAAAACAAGTAACCTAATTTTAAAAAAGGGGAAATGATCTAAATAGATTCTTCTCAAAAGAAGGAAGACAAATGGCCAACAAATATGTGAAAAAATGTTCAATATGATAGTAGTTAAGGAAAAGAAAATCAAAACTATAATGAGATACAATCTCATCTAATTAGAATGGTTATTATAAAACAATACTGGTGGAGTTGTGGAGAAAAGAAACCCTTATACACTGGTGGTATGAATGTAAATGAGCATAGCTACTAAAGAGTATGGTATGAAGATTCTTCAAAAACTACCATATTATCCAGCTATCCCACTCCAGGGTGTATATGAAATTAGCATAACAAAGAGATATCTGGATGGCCATGTTTACTACAGCGTAATTCACAGTAGCTAAGATATGGGATAAGCCTAAGTTCCTGTTGCAGATGATTGATGAAGAAAATGTGATATATATATACACAGTGGTGTACTATTTAGCCATAAAGAAGAATTAAGTTATGTCATTTGCAGCAAAATTGATAGAACTGGAGGATAACCATCAAATGTTGGTTTATATACTTCAAGTCATTAAGTATTCATAATTTAAGTGGCATGCCCTTCTCAAACTTACTACCTAGCAGTCTGGTCTAAGTAGTGACTTTTTCCCTGCAAGAATTGCAAAGTATGGTTTCTGTAACTGCATAGTGAAACCTTCTTAATTTTGAAATCTCTGTCTTGTGTTTGAATGCCTATCATTTGATCTTTTTTTTTTTGGTTTTTCTCCGGTACTGGGAACCAAACTCACGACCTTGCGCTTGCCAGGCAGGCGCTTTTGCCGCTGAGCTAAATCCCCAGCCCCCTATCATTTGATCTTGATTGAATTATTTCTCGGATTAAAAAAAAAGTTTTTGCCTTTTCTCCAGTTGGTGAAGAGTTGCTTTTGAGATTAAGTTCCTGCTAGTTGACAGACAGGAAGTATTGTTGAACAAAGAAGAGTTGCATTCAAGTCCTGGCCCTATTACTTGTTGGCTTTGTGGCTTTATGCAGATTATCAGAGCTCTCTGAAATTCAGTTTTCTTATCTGTCAGAAAGGATGAGAACTGCTGAAGTATATTCTCTCTACATTGATGACTGTGATTCTTAAGTAAGATCATATGTATGGAGCTGCTTTATAATACTAAGTATATAGAGATACTGTTTTTTTTTTTTCTAGCTAGCTAAAAATCCAAGAATTGCTTCACTACTTTTTGTGGTGTTTTCTTAATTATAAAAACTATGATTTTTTTTTTTTTAATTTTGGTAGAGGGAATTTACGTTGAAGGGAAATTTAGGCAATTTGCACAAGTTTATGTAACAAGTCTGATAGAGTTAATATAGGAACATGAGAGCCTTAACACTAAGCTAAGCACTTTACATATTGTTTCATTTAACTCACATGACAAAATTTATGTTATTTAGGCACTGTTGTAATTAGTTTTTGTATATGAAGAGACTGGAGTTCAGAGAGATTGATTTGCCCATGTTCACTTACTAATAAATGGTAGAGTCTGGGTTTTAAACCAGACATTCTAATGAAATAACCATTGTGGAGGCTGTTTTCTTTAGGGCTTGAAATACTCCAAGCTCTCCTTGACTTAAGGGTTTGTGTTGAGAAGTGTGATGTGATTCTGATATCCTTTTCTTTATAGGTGATTCATTTCTTTTCTCTAACAGCTTTTTTTTTTTTTTTTGGTTTTTCTCCGGTACCGGGAACTGAACTCACAACCTTGTGCTTGCCAGGCAGGCGCTTTTGCCGCTGAGCTAAATCCCCAGCCCTCTCTTAACAGCTTTTAATACTTTGTTCTTGTGTTGAATTTCTGAAATCTTGACTATTAGATGCCTTGGTATAGATTTTTTGATCATGGCTAATTGGAGTTCTATATGCCTCAGTTACTGTATGTCAAATTCTTTTTCCATGTTTGGGAAATTTTTTGCCATTACTTCTGTGAACATGTTTTTTTATGTCATTTGTGCTACTTTCTGCTTTTTCATCTGCTCCAATCAGTCTTACATTATTCTTTACATCAGATAGCATCTGTTGGATTTTTTTGTAGTACCTTGCTATTTTTAAGAAATGTTTCTTTTTATGATTGCTCACTGCAACCTTGTCTTCCAGATCTGATATTCTGTCCTTACATTGGCTCATTCTGCTGTGCGTACTTTCAGTAGAAGTTTTAATCTCCTGATATCAGTTTGAATCTGTTTCATGGATTTCATTTCTTTCCTATGTTGGGTGTTCATGGTTTCCATTATTTTCCTAAACTCTACTATTTTTTAATCTGTATCTACTCTAGATTCACTATACCATGACCTTCATTATGGTCATCATCTCTGTAGTCATCTGAGAAATTATTTCTCATTCAGTTTTTTCTTTTTTTGCTTTTTTTTGTAATCAGTTTTTTCTAAAGCTTCATTCATCTGCTTTGTTACTTCTGCTGTTACCAGTTCAGGGAACCCAATGAGTGGCTTCTGAATTGTTCCACTTCACTGGCCCCTGGGTTTGCCTTGGGCAAGCTGGAAGTCTGGGGTTGCACCTTAATGTCTTCTCATTTTCCGCCCTTTTTTTAGTTTAATTCCTGCGTTGATGCTTGTAAATTGCTTATGGTAGGTAACTTTATTGCTAGTATTGAGAGCTCTTAGGAAATGACCACTTCTTAGAGATGTCTTTCAGGTATAGCTGGCTTTTGGGTTTTGAGTCTGTTGCAAAATCCTACATCTTCAACTGATTAAGGATGAGAAGTTGCTGCCTATTTGGCCTAGCACCTGGTTCTTTGGCACTGATCTATAGTATTGTTTATAATGTGAAGTAATCTTGGTCTTGGCATACAAGGAAGCACATTTATGTCACCTTGGCTAAATTAGTAGTCAGTAACAGTAGCATCAGTCACAGTCTAAAAACTGACAAACTGTAGTAACTATTAATTTGCTCCTGTAACAGAACAGTATGAATAAGATTTGTAGTTATATAACAAAATCTAAAACAAACTAAAAAAATATATATAGTAATAATCCCCTCAATATGGCAGTTTAACCCTGAAAGGAGAAAATTTAAAAGCAGTTGGGAGAAAAAAATAGAGAAACAGAACAAGAGGAAAAGATTAGAAACAAGGCTGTAGGACAAAATAAGATTATACAAACTTTGGGAAACTGGTGAAGAAGACAGGAAAGAAAGAAAGAAAGAAACACATAAGAATAGAACAAAACAAAAAGAAACTAGAAACATTGTTCACATTCACATAAAAACAAGAACAAACAAAAAGAGAAAGAGAAAAAGAAAGACAAAGACAGGAAGAAAAGAAGAAAGTCTACTTTAGAGTGTCTCTGCGGTCTTTGGTAGACAAAGGGTGCAGAGAGAGCACAGATCTCTGTTGATGGGGCCCAGCAAGCCAACAGTAGAGTATGGTGGGGTGGTGGAGAATCCCAGTAAGCCTCCACCTTCTGTCCCACTGAACTGCATGCTGTTTCTGGCTTCTGGCTGTAAGGCTGGGCCTGGAGTTGTTCAGCCCTCAACACTCTGGGGTCCTCCTGCCAACTTGAACTCGGCTCCCTGACCATGGGTGTCTACCATGGCTGTGGCTCTCCCTGACACTGGGAGCTACTAGATGGAAGCAACCTGCAGCTGCTCTGATTTCTGACTTCAGTTGGCCCCTTTTCATTGCGGTGCTTGGCCAATCACCCTCTTGTGGGGGACATCGGAATTGGACTAACCAGCCACTGTAGTCCACAGTGTCCACTGCTCCATTTCACTAGTGTGTTTCGGTGGAGGCCTCTGGGGTCACCAGTAATCACTGTGCCTCTACAGGTTTAAGCTACCCCTCCCACACCATGAGCTGAGGCTCAGGGAGAATGCACCACTTGCCACTTCCATCTTCTGCATTGAGGTCCCTCTCTTTACTCTCCTCATGGACTCTGATTCTCATTTCAGATCATTACTGGGCCCCAGGGACCCTCTTTCCTCCTCATTTTCTTCTTTATGTTGCTATGTTCCAGCATCTGGACTCCAGATCTTAGAGAGGCTGTTTCTCTGCTGCTCACCACTCTGCCATCTTCCTGGAAGTCCTAGCCACCATTGTGCTGCACTATCTTATTATATGGTTTTCTATTTGATGAAAATTTAATACATATTTTTAGTCTGATTTTAAAGTTCTGAATTGAATATTTTTTATTTGTAATATAGTATAAGCTTTTTTCATATGGCTTGAAATTTACATGTAAGAAGATAGTAAATATAGGAAGGGAGGTTGAAACAGGAAACAAACCTTTTAGTTCAGACAGATTATTCAGTGATTTTCTGGAGTACGCAGGCATCTTTTTTTCTTATTTATCCAAAAATATGAGCACTATGTGTAATCATTAGGCTGTCATTGCTAATAAAAAAATGCCTATGTTGTGCAGAGTTATTAACTTAGTTGTGTTCATTTTGAACAGTTGTCTTTTTCAAAAAAGAAATAAATGTGACATGATAACTCTTGGTGCTCTCTTTCTGTCTCTCTTCCAGGCATTCTTCAGTGGCAGACTGAAGGCCAGAGGGAACATCATGCTGAGTCAGAAGCTTCAGATGATTCTTAAAGACTATGCCAAGCTCTGAAGGGTCACTACCCTGCTAGTGAAAATAGAATACTCTACCCCAATATGTTTGATGATTCTGCAAAAGTGATTACAACTAAAATACAGGAGAAATTGCTTACATTTTCAGATAACTTTAGCTTTACATTTTCTACTATTTTTCATAATTATTTTTACAAAGAACTATAAGCTAGTGCATAATTATCCTTCTAGATATATAGCTTCATAAAAACAGTTTTCATCCAAATCCAGTTTCTGTAGAATTCATAACACCAATAAGTTGACAGGAAAATTAATGAATAAAAGCCACTTTGGTACCTTTTACTCCTCCTTTCTTTTTTTTTTTTTTTTCTAATTTATCAATATGCCTGTTTTAAAATGAATTTGCTATATGTCCTCTTTTTCCACACTTTGTTATAATAGGGTTCTGCTTTAAGGCAATAGATAATTCTTTGTGTTTCCAAATGGTTTTCTTTTTTCTCCCCTCCCTTTCCTTGGAAATTCTATACTTTCACATAACATTTGTAAATGTACAAAGGATATCACTTTCTTGCTTAATCAGTAACCATAAAGGTAACCACTAGCAAGTACTGTCATGTAACAGTTTTGCCTCACATTTACCTCAGTTGAAGTGTGCTGAGAAAATTTTACTGTGATGGGTTGTCTGGAGAAGTAAGCAGCAATAAATGGGATGTTAAGGCCAGAACTCATGGGCAGGAAGATTCATGGGCAGGAAGTTGATTTGGGAATATATGGGGTATTTTCAGGGCCCATACCTGTCAGGAGAAGCAAAGGAGCCAGGCCTGGTGAAGGGTGACAAGAACATAGACTGAGGGAGCTGGAGTGTAGGGACCAGGGAAGTTCTCAGAAATTTAGAATTGTGATGTATAGAAAAGTGATGGGACATAGTGGATATCCTTAATATATTACTGATTTGATGAACAAGACAAGTAAAGGCACAGAAGAAGAGTTGCATATTTCACACTTTTACCTTGGTCTTATGAGCTGTCTAGAACATTGTAAAATTGGTCTTAATTTGAAATGATCCACTGTTCTGCCAATGGAAGTTGTAGAAAGCAGTGCCAGTTTTAAGTATTGATCTTTTATTGTACTAAAAACCTGTTGAGCTTAGAAAAGCTTTGTGTCAATAGAAGTAACATATCAAAATAAATCAAATGCTACCATACATTAATGACAGTGTTGACTGTGTACCGTAGATATTTAAAAGTTATGTTACTATGTTTTAATAATTTTACTAATCTCTGTGATCTTAAAAATCAGAGATGTACTTTTATCCACATTTGCAGATTATTAATGTTACTTAATCCTTCTATAATTTGGTAATGTTGAATGCACTATCCTCAACTTGTTACTTTCCTCTTCCAGTGAGAAATACATTAACTTCTTAATGAACATATTTCCTATTCATCTCTTTTATGATTTCCTTTGCCCCCAACAAAGTTCATTACCCACAGATTCAGTGCCCAAGGTTTTTACTGAGAGCTTGTTCACGTAGCCTTCCTTACCCTGAGCACATAGCAAAATTCTAACCTACGAGAAGGAAAGCAGGTGTTCAGGGTAAACCCATGTTGTTTGTATGAAGAGTTGGGTACAGAAAGCCACTCAGGGAATTGTAGAAGCTTTCCCGAAAAAGGTTCAAGATGTTAGCCATGGACCTACCTTGAAGAAACACTTTTCTACATGTAACATCCTCAAGGCCTGCTGTTTTAACTTTTATTCAGATAGGATCAACCCCACCGAAACTACAAACCCTAAGAGCAATTCAGGCGAAATAGAAAAACTACAAGCCTTAGCTAAAAGTCAGTTTAGATTTATATTACATGTATAGGCAGTGGCTAAAGATGCCTAATCTAGACATTGGGGCTAACAGCTTTAAACAATGAGATAGCTGGGCTGGGGATATAGCTCAGCAGCACAAGTGTGTGCCTGGTAATCGCAAGGTCCTGAGTTAGATTTCCAGTACAAAAACAAAAAATAACATACCTGAGCTGGTAAAATGTTGATGTACTAAATTTCTTAATTTAACCCCTATGAGAGCTGTCCTGGAACCCAGCTTTTCTCAGATTGATTATATAACTTGAACCCATAGCTAAAAAGAACTGAAAAATTGTATCAAGGACCATGGGTTGTTGGGAGCATGGTTTTGAAGGTAGTATGAAAAAAACATAAACCAGAAAACAAACTGTCACTAGTATTTGCAGTGATAATGTATGAATTATATATCAATGTATAATCTTATGTAACTTATATACTAATATATAATTAATATATACAGATACATATGATATAAAGTATATTTAACATTTTAAAATATAATGTATATAAAATACATTAAAATTTTAATGTATTTTTTAAAATGTAATTTTTAAAAACTAAAATTATAAAACCACTCGTAGTTTGTTACTTCACAAGAAGAGGCTGGGATCTAGTATCTGTGCTGCTAAAGCGAGCACAGAGGCTGGGCTGTTAGAGTTCATTTTTGAGGCAGGATGTAGCACAATATTGAGAGCCATTGGTTTAGAAAACTTGTTTCACAAGACAATGTGGCTGAATAGAGCTACTCAGAGCAATTCAACTGAAAACAGGTAATTGGAAGAAAGAGGCACACACATTTTGAAATGAAAATCCATCTGAAATAAGATACTCATAGATCAAGCAAAACATAAACAACTTAAATTGGGCAGGCAACCCACACAGCTGTTGGTGGGTCACTGATTGCAGGTGAATTCTCACCCTAGGTGGAAAGTAGGAAAAAAAAAATGAATACACTAAAATAGTGTAATTAAATCAAGCCACACAGAATGGATTTAGGATATAAGGTCCCCTGCCTCTTCTGATCGTCCTCCAAACAGAGGATGCTGCACCCAAGAAGTAAATTCTGCCAGCACACACAGGAGCAAATGAACTCCTCCCTGATGATCAGTTTTCCCTTTTTCTTTTCTTCCCTTTCCTTATGCACCAGAGCTCTATCTGGAACCTCTCAGGACAAGATTAAAGTGTATAGTAAATCGAACAGCTAATCCCTGACCCATGGTTAGAGGTACAGGAATTAACCTTGCACCATAGGACTGTGCAGCCTGGCACTGTCCCCATACTGGGAGCAGGAACAAAAAAAAGCCTACAGCAACTCACCCCACCTCACCTGATGAAGTTACAGACTACCATGGAGGCAAGTAGTGGTACCAGTGGACTTCATAAAGCAACAAATGGGAAGTTAGCATTTCCCCTTCAAGAGAGCAGTAAAAATTGAGACTGAACAGCCTTGGACCTTGGCACCTGCAGGAGCAGAGGGTCAGACCACATCACAGCACCCCACCCCACCCTTCAACAGACAACCTGAGAGGACAGAGACTTGCCAGTGGAAGAGGAACAGAGAGGTGAGCAAGGACTGGGAGATGGGAGTGGGACTGGCCCCCTGTCTCTGTCTGAAAACAGTACAGCAACTGGGGGAGAGACAGAGAAATGGTACGGAAACAGGCCACTAAGGGACATACAGAAAGTACTGGTTAAAAGCTGGCCTCAGGCTGCCACATCTGGAAGCCAAGATCAGCCTCACACACAGCACAAACTCTGCTGCAGGCTTGGAAGTGTTACCCAGTAGTTTTGGGCTCAGTGGACACCAGAGAAATTTTGGTTTTTATTGTATATTTTTTTCTTCTTTGCTGATTTGTTTTCCTTTTTTTCCTCCCTATTTTACTTACATTTCTGTTCTAAGGTCATCTTATTTCATTTTTTCTTCAGTTTATCTCTAGATTTAATCATATTTTCATGTGAATGAATAGTCTCAAATTTTTCTGGTTAACTTTGATAATCACCTGTTACTCCTTCACTCTTTCTCTAGTTTCCCAAAGCTTATGTGATCATGCTTTGTCTTCAGCCTTGCTTCTACTATATTTCTCTTTAGTTATCTCTCTTTTATCCACTATCCTTCTTAAATTTCCCCACCACGGGGTAAAACCACTCTAGCAAGGGGAAACCCCTTCTGTAACAATACTGGGAAGCACTGGGATAATAACCTCATCACAGCGCAGCTTCAAAGAACTGGGGACTGAATCAAATAGATACCAACATCTCACTCTTGATAGATTGGGAGGGTAAGCTCTTGGGACAGATACAAACCAAGAACTTCCTACACACAGAAGACATTCCTGAATAACAGACATTTTGTAGGGAGACTTTGATACGAGTGATAAAGCTACCATGAAAACTTACGAGAAAATAAATTTTAAGAATAGAGAAGACACAGTAGCAAATGTAACCTCAGACCTCCAGTCCACCCATGACAAATTCAAGACAAGATAGAGGAAAATGGAAGACACAAACATAAAATTTCAAAATGATAGGAACTAAAGTAAACAAATCCATGTGGCTATAAAGGAAATCAGATCAGAAATCTCTCAGGTTAAAAAAAAAAAGCAATGATAATGATAATGAAGTAATTGCTCAGCAAATATAGAGTAGACATTTAAAAACAACAAGGAGAAGGAAATAATGGAAATTATAGGAAAATTTATGAGTCCCAGTTTTTTATAGGAAAAATCATGAGTCCCAAGAGCCCAAGAGTCCTTTGCCTCTGCCCCAACTTCTGACCACCTCAGGAATTTGGAGAGGAAGATGTAGTGTAGTTGGCCCAACACTGAGTTCTCTGGAATATGCAACCCCGGTAAAAACAAGCAACTAATTAGAACAGATATGACATCCTAGCTAAAGTAGTATAATTAGTAATAGCAATAACATCAAGCACAGCTTAAAAATTGATGAACTAGAGCTGGGGATTTAGCTCAGCGGCACAGCGCCTGCCTGGCAAGCGCAAGGTCATGAGTTCAATTCCCGGTACCAGAAAAAAAAAATTGATGAACTGTGTTAACTATTAATTTTGGACCTTAAACCATAGAAGCAAAATCTACAGTGATATAACAGAACCCACTATAAATTGGAAGGTTGAATGTAAAATGTTTCCCCTTGCTAGAGTGGTTTTTACCCCGTGGTGGGGAAATTGTCCATAAACTTTAGAACAAAGCAAAACAAAACAAATAGAACAATAGGAAACAAAATCCAAATAGAAACATCAGAAGAAAAGGCAACACTACACAAAAAAAGATTAATTGGAAAAGTGAACAATCAGAAGACAGCACAAGTGGCATAAAAACCTGTTCACAGAAAAGATTCTCAGAAAGTTTCCCATATACAGTAATACTTTGGTTCACAAACACTCCTGTTTGCAAAAAATTCAGTTCACAAGCTCTGCATTAGGTGACAAACATGACCACAGCCATCTTCCCCACACAAACAAAACAGCCTTCTTTCCCCAAATCATAAAATAAGTTCATAAACTGAGGCACCGCTGCATAGGAAAAGAAACATACAGGTAAGTGAGGCATATAGAGAACCTTTCCATGCCACATAATCCTCAAGTATCAGAAGTCCATCACAAAATCTTAAAAGCTGTTAGAGAAAAGCAATGAATCACATGTAAGAATAAACCCATTGGAATTACAGCAGACTTACGAACACAAACCTTAAATGCCAGAAGTTCTTGGAACGTAGCATTTCAAGCCTAAAAAATAACTTGAACCCAACTTACATGTCCTGCAAAACTTTTCTTCAAAATTTATGGAGAAATAAGGCATTTCTGTGACAAGGAGTACCTCAACAAATTAATAACCACCAAAATAGCATTACAAAAAATTTTCAAGATGATCTTAGACAATGAAGCCAATAATGGCAATATAAGTGAAAAAGAATGACAGTGCCTGGCAGGAAAAGCAGCTAAGCAAAAGGGTATTGTACTACTAATATCTATTAGTTGACTGATAGGAACAGTTAGTGTTTATATTGTTTGATCAATCTTACATGCCTATATTTGGTGATTTGAGCAACTACTTCGAAGATAACAATATGAATATAATAATCATTGTTAATTTCATATCTTGTTTTGAAATTCTGTATCATTTTTATTTTTTTATTCTCTTTAAAAAATCAGAAACAAGAAAATTATTCAATGATAGGAATAAGTTTATACCTTTCAGTAATATGAATGCTTTCAAGCCCCCAATTAAAAGACAAATTGGCAGAAGGAATCAAGAAACAAAGCCCAATGATATGCAGTATAAAGCAAGGACAGCTATCCTAATTTAAGACAAAGTGAATTTCAAGTCAAACTCATCAGAAGAGACAAAGAAGGTCACTACAAATTGATTAATGGAACAACAGGATAAAATAACAATTATAAACATATACACCAAACACTGGTGCACCCAACTTCATAAAACAAACACTATTGGACATGAAAAATCATATAAACACCAATAAAATTGTAATGGGGGATCACAACACCCCACTGCCACAAATAGATCAACTAGACAAGAAAATGCTTAGGAATTAACCTAACC